TCTGTCACCTCTCAGCCATATATATCACTGTGTCTGTCACCTCTCACCCATAAATATCACTGTGTCTGTCATCTCTCACCCATATATACCACTGTGTCTGTCACCTCTCACCCAAAGATATCACTGTGTCTGTCACCTCTCACCCATAGATATCACTGTGTCTGTCACCTCTCCCCCATAGATATCACTGTGTCTGTCACCTCTCACCCATATATACCACTGTGTCTGTCACCTCTCACCCAAAGATATCACTGTGTCTGTCACCTCTCACCCATAGATATCACTGTGTCTGTCACCTCTCCCCCATAGATATCACTGTGTCTGTCACCTCTCACCCATAGATATCACTGTGTCTGTCACCTCTCACCCATAGATATCACTGTGTCTGTCACCTCTCACCCATAGAAATCACTGTGTCTGTCACCTTTCACCCATAGATATCACTGTGTCTGTCACCTCTCCCCCATAGATATCACTGTGTCTGTCACGTCTCCCCCATAGATATCACTGTGTCTGTCACCTCTCCCCCATAGATATCACTGTGTCTGTCACCTCTCACCCATAGATATCACTGTGTCTGTCACCTCTCAGCCATATATATCACTGTGTCTGTCACCTCTCACCCATAAATATCACTGTGTCTGTCATCTCTCACCCATATATACCACTGTGTCTGTCACCTCTCACCCAAAGATATCACTGTGTCTGTCACCTCTCACCCATAGATATCACTGTGTCTGTCACCTCTCACCCATAGATATCACTGTGTCTGTCACCTCTCACTCATAAATATCACTGTGTCTGTCACCTCTCACCCATAGATATCACTGTGTCTGTCACCTCTCACCCATAAATATCACTGTGTCTGTCACCTCTCACTCATAAATATCACTGTGTCTGTCACCTCTCACTCATAAATATCACTGTGTCTGTCAACTCTCACCCATAGATATCACTGTCTGTCACCTCTCACCCTAAATATCACTGTGTCTGTCACCTCTCACCCATAGATATCACTGTGTCTGTCACCTCTCACACATAGATATCACTGTGTCTGTCACCTCTCACCCATAGATATCACTGTGTCTGTCACCTCTCACCCATAGATATCACTGTGTCTGTCACCTCTCACCCATAGTTATCACTGTGTCTGTCACCTCTCACCCATAGATATCACTGTGTATGTCACCTCTCACTCATAAATATCACTGTGTCTGTCACCTCTCACCCATAGATATCACTGTGTCTGTCACCTCTCACTCATAAATATCACTGTGTCTGTCACCTCTCACTCATAAATATCACTGTGTCTGTCACCTCTCAGCCATATATATCACTGTGTCTGTCACCTCTCACCCATAAAATCACTGTGTCTGTCATCTCTCACCCATATATACCACTGTGTCTGTCACCTCTCACCCAAAGATATCACTGTGTCTGTCACCTCTCACCCATAGATATCACTGTGTCTGTCACCTCTCCCCCATAGATATCACTGTGTCTGTCACCTCTCACCCATAGATATCACTGTGTCTGTCACCTCTCACCCATAGATATCACTGTGTCTGTCACCTCTCACCCATAGATATCACTGTGTCTGTCACCTCTCACCCATAAATATCACTGTGTCTGTCACCTCTCACTCATAAATATCACTGTGTCTGTCACCTCTCACCCATAGATATCACTGTGTCTGTCACCTCTCACCCATAAATATCACTGTGTCTGTCACCTCTCACTCATAAATATCACTATGTCTGTCACTTCTCACTCATAAATATCACTGTGTCTGTCAACTCTCACCCATAGATATCACTGTGTCTGTCACCTCTCCCCCTAAATATCACTGTGTCTGTCACCTCTCACCCATAGATATCACTGTGTCTGTCACCTCTCACCCATAGATATCACTGTGTCTGTCACCCCTCCCCCATAGATATCACTGTGTCTGTCACCTCTCCCCCATAGATATCACTGTGTCTGTCACCTCTCACCCATAGATATCACTGTGTCTGTCACCTCTCACCCATAGATATCACTGTGTCTGTCACCTCTCCCCCATATATATCACTGTGTCTGTCACGTCTCCCCCATAGATATCACTGTGTCTGTCACCTCTCCCCCATAGATATCACTGTGTCTGTCACCTCTCACCCATAAATATCACTGTGTCTGTCACCTCTCACCCATATATATCACTGTGTCTGTCACCTCTCACCCATAGATATCACTGTGTCTGTCACCTCTCACCCATAGATATCACGGTGTCTGTCACCTCTCACCCATAAATATCACTGTGTTTGTCACCTCTCACTCATAAATATCACTGTGTCTGTCACCTCTCACCCATATATATCACTGTGTCTGTCACCTCTCACCCATATATATCACTGTGTCTGTCACCTCTCACTCATAAATATCACTGTGTCTGTCACCTCTCACCCATAGATATCACTGTGTCTGTCACCTCTCACCCATAGATATCACTGTGTCTGTCACCTCTCACCCATATATATCACTGTGTCTGTCACCTCTCAACCATAGATACCACTGTGTCTGTCACCTCTCACCCATATATATCACTGTGTCTGTCACCTCTCACCCATAGATATCACTGTGTCTGTCACCTCTCACCCATAAATATCACTGTGTTTGTCACCTCTCACTCATAAATATCACTGTGTCTGTCACCTCTCACCCATATATATCACTGTGTCTGTCACCTCTCACCCATATATATCACTGTGTCTGTCACCTCTCACTCATAAATATCACTGTGTCTGTCACCTCTCACCCATAGATATCACTGTGTCTGTCACCTCTCACCCATAGATATCACTGTGTCTGTCACCTCTCACCCATATATATCACTGTGTCTGTCACCTCTCAACCATAGATACCACTGTGTCTGTCACCTCTCACCCATATATATCACTGTGTCTGTCACCTCTCACCCATAGATATCACTGTGTCTGTCACCTCTCACCCATAGATATCACTGTGTCTGAAAGAGGACAGAGGACAGGGGAAGGTTTAATAGTTTCTCATCTCCATACTGCTTATGAATTGCTATAATTTATGAGGTAGCTTTTATCAAGGGGTTTAATACATGTATGTAGGCTATTTTGTGCTAATATACAGTATGTTCATATTCTAACATACAATATATTCTTAGTAGGTTTTAATTTGACCTCTGTTAGCTGTGAGCTGTGTGAATATTTTAATAGCATAAAGTTGGTCATTAAAAATGTGTAATTTTCTAAGGGTATGCATGCACCCCAAGCTTCTAGTTTTAACCAGTCTAAACTCCACTAAACGCTCCTCAGTGTCCCATACAGGCTTGCAATCTTGATGGCTATCGAACTGTGGCTAGTCTGATGGCTTTTTCACCAGGCAACTACAATGCTATTCCCATGTATTATACTGTAGTGTACAGCTGATGGGATGGTGGAGCAGGAATCTATTAACGGGAAGTTCTGGAACAGTGCTCTTGGGTGTGCTTAAGCTCTGGGCTCTCAATTTCCTAATGACAAATACACACGTTATGGTTTTAATGTCCTATTTTCCCCTAACAGGGACTTTAATATTTAAACATGAATGGAGAGATTGATTAGGCCTACTAATGTATTTAGAATGTATGGATTCATACAAACATACAGTATATATGACGGCTATATGGCGACTATATACTAATTTAAATGTCACATTGTACCGCAGGCAGGGACATGTGATATACACAGTCTGTAGGCTAACAAATTAAGTTCCAGGTTATTACCCCAAATGCATCATACAGGCTGACAGGTAATATCTGGAAGGAAAGATTTTAATGACAGTTATTCCAACTGGAAGGAAACGCCGGCAGCAGCTTCTGTTTATTGCCTCTTTCTAGGCTGCGTCGCAAATGGTACCCTACGCATTCCCTACATAGTGCAGTACTTTTGACCAGAGCCCTATGGGCCTTGATATAAAGTAGTGCACTATATAGGAAATAGGGTGCCATTTGGGATGCAGACCTAAAGAAGGAGCATGTTAATTATCCCGTGTAGCCCCTGGCACCTGCACCATCTGAAGATTCGGGGGCAGAGTTCTTTTTTGTTGCTTTGTTGCATTTTAAAGACTTCAGAACCACTAGTGAGTGTTGCTAATGGGTAGGTCAATTGTGTGTGTGTGTGTGCCTGCGTGTGTGTGTGTCGTGTAGCTCAGTTGGTAGAGCATGGCGCTTGCAGTGCCAGGGTTGTGGGTTCGATTCCCACGGGGGACCAGTACGAACAAAGTATGAAAATGTATGCACTCACTACTGTACACTCGCTCTGGATAAGAGTGTATGCTAAATTACTAAAATGTAAATGTATAAAGTGTGTGCAGGTGTGTGTGTTTTCTCTGATTAGTGTGTGACGGCGGTGCAGTCAGATCTTCCTCTGGCCTGAGACGTCAGCAGGTGGAACTGTGGATTATTTGTATGCTAATGACGGGTCCATGACGAGCTGAGATGGAGGCTTCAGACAAATACAGCACAGAGTTGTGTAACAGGCCAATTAATAGAGGAGACGTCATGCAAATTCACGGAGGAGATGTTATTCTACATGACAGACCAGAGAGAGATGGCAGTAGAGCAGGTTAAAGGAGGCTAGAGAGACCGGATGACTATGTAAACGTGATAAATAATGACTTTCACACATTGATGATTGACAAAAATGATTTAAATGTAGAATATTGATTAGCGTTCAATTTACATCCCTGACCAAATAGCTAGGCTATTTTCGTGTCATAGAAAAATGGATCTTTGGGAAGGAAATTGAGATTTTTGTCCGTCTAGTGCAGTCAATCACAATGTGACGTGAACGGACACCATGATTGTGGCAGGCAGACTGGTCTGTTCTCATGTTCATTCTGCAGCTAACTCATACTATGTGTGTGCATGCGTGTGTGTGTGTGCTCGGAGCATGTCTGGTCGGCACACAAAGGAACCAGAGAGGTGCAGACAGACAGACAGATGTATGATGCAGGTAGAGAGAGAGCTGTGGTGTGGAGCGAGTGAGGGAGGCAGCATCCTGCCCTGTGGTCCATGTGGTGTGGAGCGAGTGAGGGAGGCAGCATCCTGCCCTGTGGTCCATGTGGTGTGGAGCGAGTGAGGGAGGCAGCATCCTGCCCTGTGGTCCATGTGGTGTGGAGCGAGTGAGGGAGGCAGCATCCTGCCCTGTGGTCCATGTGGTGTGGAGCGAGGGAGGGAGGCAGCATCCTGCCCTGTGGTCCATTTGGTGTGGAGTGAGTGAGGGAGGCAGCATCCTGCCCTGTGGTCCATCATGTGGTCCAGGAGTTCAGGTGTTAATGGGAATTGATGCGTCTCATTACCCAGTCCCTGAGCCCCTCTGCTGCGGAGAGAAAGGAGAAGAGAGGGGGGTCGGTCCCTGGAGAGGTGGAGGGGAAGAGGAGGAAGGGAGGATGAAAACTGAATGATTTGAATTGTGTGATGAGAGGAGAGGTGCCAGGAATCATAATTCCATCCTCTGCCGTTCTGCCTCCTCTAACACCCCTCCTCACCCCCCCCCCCCCCCCTCGCTCTCTCTCTCCCTTTCTCTCTCTCCTTCTCTCTCTCTCTCTCCCTTTCTCTCTATCTCTCCATCCATCCCTCTCTCTCTCTCTCTCTCTCTCCCTTTTTCTTTCTCTCTCTCTCTCTCTCTCTCTCACTCTCTCTTTCTCTCTCTCTCCCTTACTCCCCCTCCCTCTCCCTCCTTCTCTCTCTGTCTCCAGCTGCAGTGCAGAGATTGTAGCGGTGGAGGCCCCCGTCAGGCTGTCAGGTGACCAGGACGACAGCACTAACATCGCTCCCCCACCAGATTGTCAATCCTCCCCCGTCTCCATGACAACCGCGGCGGCCTGTGGAGAGGAGGCTTGCGACGAGCCTGCAGCAGCAGGAGGAGAGGAACTAGCTGCAGAATGCGTAAGGAGAATCCCCCCCCCCCCCCCTCTCTCTCTCTCTCTCTCTTTCTCTCTCCTTCACCACATCTTTATTCATTTTCATTTTTGAACCCTCTCTCTCTTTTACTCTGTCTGTCTCTCACTCAATATGCTGGAGACAGTGGTGGGCTGTAGCACGCACACAGACAGGCGCATGTGAGGATGGTTAGGGCAGAACAGAACAGAGGGACTGCGTATCCAGGCAGGCAGGCAGCAGGCTGCAGGCTGCAGACACACACACACAGAGCCAGGCAGAGGTCTGTGATGAGCCACTGACAACCGCAGGCAGGCAGGCAGGCATGCATCTACAGCCTCAGCGTCTTCCTCCCAGCCCAGCTCTGCGTCTGCCTGGGAACAGGACTCAGCAGAGAGGGAGGATTAAAGAGCAGGTTCATGGTGGTAACTGACGGGGCTTCTTCATCTCATCTGTGTGCTGTGCTGCTTGGCTTGCTCAGCTGTCTGTCCTCCTGTCCTCTCTGTGTGAAACGCAGCTACCCAGCTGCTAGCCGTCTGTCGGTAGCTGTCGGTGCATTGTGTTAATTTGTGCAATAATCCGACCAACACGTCTCTGCCTCTGCTGGGGTTGAGGTTACAGCATCAAGCATCACGTATCGACAACCAGGGTAGTTGGGTTTATGGCCGACAGTCCGTCATGTGTTTTGTATGAGGAAGGATGCTATAGGTGAGAACGAACGCTAACGTCATATATTCCACCATTGCTTTTTGCTCATAGCTCAGTCATTGTTGCTGTTGCATGCACCGGCTTATTTAATGCATGGAGAATGGCAGTGCATTTTTCTAGTCATGGCCATTCATTAATACCCCCATCCAACCGCGTCATTAATTATTCTGTGTGATACCTGAGCCCTAGCTACGTGTCTTATTTCCCGTCCTTGTCTTGTTGGATAGGACAACATACCACAATGCCCTTCGTTTTCAGCCACGGTCATGTTGTTTAACATGCGTAGGTCTGCAGCTATCTGTTGTTTTTCAAGCTGATGCTAGGAACCACAGAGTCTAAACTTTAGCAGTTTGGGGGCCGATCGATGATGACCTGTCAATCAATGAGCTGCTGTCATTCAGCTCTGTCGATCACTAATGATGCTGAATGAGCATCTGTAGAGGGGTGAGGAGTCAGGGGGTCACCCTGTCAGTCTGATGACCTTTCACCTGATCTTTAGTTCCATGATGAGGCCCACCAAGATGTATGCAGGAATAATTTGACCGACACCAAAGCAATCAATGCAATCCATCCTTGAACAGCACCTAGCATTGGTGCCATTGTGTCAGGCTGAGAGAAACTCATAATATTGTCTTGGGGTATTTCTAAAATCTCAATTCCCATTCCATTCCATGGCTTCCCTAGCATCCCCAGTCCATTCCAAGGCTTCCCAAGTCATTCCGTGAAGGAAACAGATATGTGCCCTTGGTCTGTCTGTCTGAGTACGTACAACATTGACAGCCTCTCAGAGTCAAGGGTATCATATTAACAGTCTGTATCTCAGGATACTAAACACCATTTCATTAGTCAAACCTACCAGGTTCAGAATGGATCAATATCTGTTGAGATTGAGAGGGTGATGGCACCATTAGCAGGACTATTCTATGCTACAGAGCATGTTCTCAATGTGTTGTACAGCCAACCCACGTCCTATAGGCCTCTCACGTTACCATCTCCCTCTCACTCTGTCTCTAACACTCCATTGGCTCTTTCAGTTTCAGCCAATAGCAGGTGACATATTCAGTTGATTGACAGGTGTCTCTCCAATCAGCAGCACTCTGGCCTGGGCTGCAGGCGCTCCAACTCGGACGCAGCCTATGAACCGGCCAAATCGGTAAGGGCCCAGCGCGAGTGCCGCCTCCGGCCCCACTACAGCGACCCCATGCCGGCCGATGCCACAAAGCGCAAACAGCTGGAGATGAAGATCGCTGCCGCTGCACGCCTCCACAGCCAGCGACGGGACAGGGACAGCGGTGGGTGGACTTACTGTACATGGTGTCTTGTCTCTATGCTGTATCTAGTGTTGTACAAACCAAATGTCCCTATGGGATGATACGGTGATGAGGTGTGTGTTTGAGTGTATGAATGAGTGGCCGCTATTCTAAAAAGGCATTAACATCGCAAAAGGAAAATATTGGAGTCTACTTTGTGTGCGAACCTACCTACTTTGTCATTGAACCCAACTCTAGTCCCCACATCCCTGTCCAGCCCATATTGAACATCCCTGTCCAGCCCATATCGTACATCCCTGTCCAGCCCATATCGTACATCCCTGTCCAGCCCATATCGTACATCCCTGTCCAGCCCATATCGAACATCCCTGTCCAGCCCATATCGAACATCCCTGTCCAGCCCATATCGTACATCCCTGTCCAGCCCATATCGAACATCCCTGTCCAGCCCATATCGTACATCCCTGTCCAGCCCATATCGTACATCCCTGTCCAGCCCATATCGTACATCCCTGTCCAGCCCATATCGTACATCCCTGTCCAGCCCATATCGAACATCCCTGTCCAGCCCATATCGAACATCCCTGTCCAGCCCATATCGAACATCCCTGTCCAGCCCATATCGTACATCCCTGTCCAGCCCATATCGAACATCCCTGTCCAGCCCATATCGTACATCCCTGTCCAGCCCATATTGAACATCCCTGTCCAGCCCATATCGTACATCCCTGTCCAGCCCATATCGTACATCCCTGTCCAGCCCATATCGTACATCCCTGTCCAGCCCATATCGAACATCCCTGTCCAGCCCATATCGTACATCCCTGTCCAGCCCATATCGAACATCCCTGTCCAGCCCATATCGTACATCCCTGTCCAGCCCATATCGTACATACATATCGTGGTCCTCTGTAGCTCAGCTGGTAGAGCACAGCGCTTGTAATGCCAAGGTAGTGGGTTCGATCCCCGGGACCACCCATACACAAAAAAAAAATGTATGCACGCATGACTGTAAGTCGCTTTGGATAAAAGCGTCTGCTAAATGGCATATTATTATTATCCCTGTCCAGCCCATATCGTACATCCCTGTCCAGCCCATATCAAATATCAAGTCTTACTTCATCATAATCACACATTATCCTCAGGAATAGTCTTTCCTAACACTAACCTCTTCGGGGGTAATTCCCCTAATCAATCCTGACAACGCACCCTTCCACCCAACTACCCACACGATTCATTACACTCACCCTTCTCATCCTACTTACCCTTTGGGCAGTCTTCCCAGCGGCCTTGTCTGGCACGGAGCCCATGTTGTACAGGCACAGAGACTCTAACAATGAGCCAGGTTAAGAAACAAACACCCATACACACACATGAACCCAACCTCAGGCTATCGTGTCATGCCACAAATTGTATTATTCTTGACTGTGAATTCTCTTACTAAAGTGCTAGCTTTACATTATGGACCTCACAACTGCAGTGTGATTGTCTCTTTGCTATTGAAACAGCTGCCTCCAGGACAGTTAAGATCTTTCAGAGTCACTGCACTCATATTTAGAGCCTGAGCCCCCCTCGACTCTGTTCTCCTCCGATTGAGTGCACTGCAGCCAGCTGAATCAGTGTAAAGTAACTAGCTATCGTGTGTGATTTTTAAATGGCATTTTTCAGAGGCCCTTACAGTAATTTACCCTAACATTTTAAGATTGGGCTTGTTTTGAATAGTAGAAGCCTATTTGTAGAAGCGTATTTAGTTTTGTGTCTTTTCGATACACACTTAGAAAAAAAGGTGCTTGTGAAAGTATTCACCCCCCTTGGCATTTTTCCTATTTTGTTGCCTTACAACCTGGAATTAAAATGGATTTTTGGGGGGTTTGTATCATTTGATTTACACAACATGCCTACCACTTTGAAAATGCAAAATAATTTTTTTTGTGAAACAAACATGAAATAAGACAGAAAAACTGAAAACTTGAGCGTGCATAACTATTCACCCCCCCCCCCCCCCCCCCCCCCCCCCCCCCCCAAAGTCAATACTTTGTAGAGCTACCTTTTGCAGAAATTACAGCTGCAAGTCTCTTGGGGTATGTCTCTATAAGCTTGGCACATCTAGCCACTGGCAAAACTGCTCCAGCTCCTTCAAGTTGGATGGGTTCCGCTGGTGTACAGCAATCTTTAAGTCATACCACAGATTCTCAATTGGATTGAGGTCTGGGCTTTGACTAGGCCATTCCAATACATTTAAATGTTTCCCCTTAAACCACTCGAGTGTTGCTTTAGCAGTAAACATCCCACAGCATGATGCTGCCACCACCATGCTTCACTGTGTGGATGGTGTTCTCGGGGTGATGAGAGGTGTTGGGTTTGCGCCAGACATAGCGTTTTCCTTGATGGCCAAAAAGCTCAATTTTAGTCTCATCTGACCAGAGTACCTTCTTCCATATGTTTGGGGAGTCTCCCACATGCCTTTTGGCGAACACCAAACATGTTTGCTTATTTTCTTCTTTAAGCAATGGCTTTTTTCTGGCCACTCTTCTGTAAAGCCCAGCTCTGTGGAGTGTACGGCAATCTCCACTGTGGAGCTTTGGAGCTCTTTCAGGGTTATCTTTGGTCTCTTTGTTGCCTCTCTGATTAATGCCCTCCTTGCCTGGTCCATGAGTTTTGGTGGGCGGCCCTCTCTTGGCAGGTTTGTTGTGGTGCCGTATTCTTTCCATTTTTTAAATAATGGATTTAATGGTGCTCCGTGGGATGTTCAAAGTTTCTGATATTTTTTTATAACCCAACCCTGATCTGTACTTCTCCACAACTTTGTCCCTGACCTGTTTGGAGAGCTCCTTGGTCTTCATGGTGCCGCTTGCTTGGTGGTGCCCCTTGCTTAGTGGTGTTGCAGACTCTGGGGCCTTTCAGAACAGGTGTATATATACTGAGATCATGTGACACTTAGATTGCACACAGGTGGACTTTATTTAACTAATTATGTGACTTCTGAAGGTAATTGGTTACACCAGATCTTATATACATATACATACATATACACATACATACACTACCGTTCAAAAGTTTGGTGTCACTTAGAAATGTCCTTGTTTTTGAAAGAAAAGCAATTTTTTTGTCTATTAAAATCACATCAAATTGGTCAGAAATACAGTGTAGACATTGTTAATGTTGTAAATGGCTATTGTAGCTGAATACGTCAGATTTTTTATGGAATATCTACATAGGCATACAGAGGCCCATTATCAGCAGCCATCAGTCCTGTGTTCCAATGGAACGTTGTGTTTGCTAATCCAAATTTATCATTTTAAAAGGCTAACTGATCATAAAAAATCTGCCGTTTCACATATAATTCACTGTATCACAATTCCAGTGGGTCAGAAGTTTACATACACTAAGTTGACTGTGCCTTTAAACAGCTTGGAAAATTCCAGAAAATGATGTCATGGCTTTAGAAGCTTCTGATAGGCTAATTGACATCATTTGAGTCAATTGGAGGTGTACCTGTGGATGTATTTCAAGGCCTACCTTCAAACTCAGTGCCTCTTTGCTTGACATCATGGGAAAATCTAAAGAAATCAGCCAACACCTCAGAAAAAAGATTGTAGACCTCCACAAGTCTGGTTCATCCTTGGGAGCAATTTCCAAACGCCTGAAGGTACCACGTTCATCTGTACAAACAATAGTATGCAAGTATAAACACCATGGGACCACGCAGCCGTCATACCGCTCAGGAAGGAGACGCGTTCTGTCTCCTAGGGATTAACGTACTTCGGTGCGAAAAGTGCAAATCAATCCCACAACAACAGCAAAGGACCTTGTGAAGATGCTGGAGGAACAGGTACAAAAGTATCTATATCCACAGTAAAACGAGTCCTATATCAACATAACCTGAAAGGCCGCTCAGCAAGGAAGAAGCCACTGCTCCAAAACCTGCCATAAAAAGCCAGACTACGGTTTGCAACTGCACATGGGGACAAAGATTGTACTTTTTGGAGAAATGTCCTCTGGTCTGATGAAACAAAAATATAACTTTTTGGCCATAATGACCATCGTTATGTTTGGAGGAAAAAGGAGGACGCTTGCAAGCCGAAGAACACCATCCCAACCGTGAAGCACGGGGGTGGCAGCATCATGCTGTGGGAGTGCTTTGCTGCAGGAGGGACTGGTGCACTTCACAAAATAGATGGCATCATGAGGAAGGAAAATTATGTGGCTATATTTAAGCAACATCTCAAGACATCAGTCAGGAAGTTAAAGCTTGGTCGCAAATGGGTCTTCCAAATGGACAATGACCCCAAGCATACTTCCAAAGTTCTGGCAAAATGGGTTAAGGACAACAAAGTCAAGGTATTGGAGTGGCCATCACAAAGCCCTGATCTCAATCCTATTGAACATTTGTGGGCAGAACTGAAAAAGTGTGTGAAAGCAAGGAGGCCTACAAACCTGACTCAGTTACACCAGCTCTGTCAGGAGGAATGGGCCAAAATTCACCCAATTTATTATGGGAAGCTTGTGGAAGGCTACCCAAAACGTTTGACCCAAGTTAAACAATTTAAAGGCAATGCTACCAAATACTAATTCAGTGTATGTAAACTTCTGACCCACTGGGAATGTGATGAAAGAAATAAAAGCTGAAGTAAATCATTCTCTCTACTATTATTCTGACATTTTACATTCTTAAAATAAAGTGGTGATCCTAACTGACCTAAGACAGGGAATGTTTACTAGGATTAAATGTCAGGAATTGTGAAAAACGGAGTTTAAATGTATTTGGCTAAGGTGTATGTAAACTTCCGACTTCAACTGTATATACATTTTATGGACACAGTCAATTTTACAATAATTATATTTTGTTTGTTTTTACTCCTGAACTTCCTCTACCCTCAAGCTCTCTGATCATTTTCATGATGTTCATCTGGTTTGCTTCTATATGCCATATCTTTAGGGAATATGTTAGTCAATATGCCATATTGGGCTGGGGGTAGATCAGCTTTAATACTTCAGATAGATTGTAACTTCCATCAATGTAATTGTCTGCATCACTTCCAATCCCCCATATGTATTTTTTTTTTTTTTACTCAGTACTTTGTTGAAACACCTTTGGCAGCGATTACAGCCTCAAGTCTTCTTGGGTATGACGCTACAAGCTTGGCACACCTGTATTTGGGGAGTTTCTCCCATTCTTCTCTGCAGATCCTCTCAAGCTCTGTCAGGTTGGATGGGGAGCGTCGCTGCACAGCTATTTTCAGGTCTCTCCAAAGATGTTCGATCAGGTTCAAGGTGCTTAGTGTCGTTGTCCTGTTGGAAGGTGAACCTTCGCCCCAGTCTGAGTTCCTGAGCGCTCTGGAGCAGGTTTTCATAAAGGATCTCTCTGTACTTTGCTCCGTTCATCTTTCCCTCGATCCTGACTTGTCTCCTAGTCCCTGCCACTGAAAAACATCCCACAGTATGATACTGCCACCACCACGCTTCACCGTAGGGATGCTGCCAGGTTTCCTCCAGATGTGACGCTTGGCATTCAGGCCAAAGAGTTCAATCTTGGTTTCATCAGACCAGATAATCTTGTTTTGTCCGGGTCTGAGAGTGCCTTTTGGTGCCTTTTTGGCAAACTCCAAGCGGGCTGTCATGTGCCTTTTACTGAGGAGTGGCTTCCGTCTGGCCACTCTACCATAAAAGCCCGATTGTTGGAGTGCTGCAGAGATGGTTGTCTTCTGGAAGGTTTTCCCATCTCCACAGAGGAACTCTGGAGCTTCCTGACCAAGGCCCTTCCACCCCGATTGCTCAGTTTGGCCGGGCGGCTAGCTCTATGAAGGGTCTTGGTGGTTCCAAACTTCTGCCATTTAGGAATGATGGAGGCCACAGTGTTCTTGGGGACCTTCAATACTGCATAAATGTTTTGGTACCCTTCCCCAGATCTGTGCCTCGACACGATCCTGTCTAGGAGCGCTAAGGACAATTCCTTCGACCTGATGGCTTGGTTTTTGCTCTGACATGTATTGTATTTAGACAGGTGTGTGTCTTTTCCAAATAATGTCCAATCAATTGAATTTACCACAGGTGGACTCCAGTCAAGTTGTAGAAACATCTCAAGGATGATCAATGGAAACAGGATTCCCCTGAGCTCAATTTCGAGCCTCATAGAAAAGGGTCTGAATACTTATGTAAATAAGGTATTTCTGTTTTTTATTTTGAATAAATGTGCAAACATTTCTAAAAACCTGTTTTCGCTTTGCCATAATGGGGTATTGTGTGTAGATTGATGAGGAAAAAAATATAATTGAATCCATTTTAGAATAAGGCTGTAATGTAACAAAATGTGGAAAAAGGGAAGGGGTCTGAAGACTTTCCGAATGCACTGTGTCTGACTATGTAATCTATCTTTATAATTTAGCATTACAACAAAGTAATTAATGTTCTAGGATTGAAGGGAGGTCGGGAGGTCTCTTGTTCACTTAGTACAAAATAATTTGATGCTTATGTCCCAAAAAACAGTATAACTAAAAGCCTACAACAGTTCACTTCTTAATAATTGTGTGACTAGTTTCTAACCTTTCTTCTTGTCTGTGTTTGTCCCACAGCTCCTGCCTCGGTGCGGGTCCGTTCCGAGCCCCGCGGTGTGGAGCGTCTAGGGAGTCTGGGTGTGACACGGGCTGGACAGCACCGCTGGAGCACCGTGAGCAGCCTCAGTGCCGACAGCGGCGTCGTGGGCCTGTGTGACGACCGCAACGATGACGATGAACCCCGGAGAGTACACCACAGCGGAGAAGCTGAGGTAGAACGGGTGGACAGCGGGATTGGACCCTGCCTTGCTCGCGGCTGGAAGAGACCTTCTGCCTCCCTCATGGCCTGGGAGGCCCAGAGACCCTGCCCAGACTGTGGCCAGAGAGATGGGCATGGGGTGGCCCGGACGGATGGGGAGGGGACCGGGATGTGTGAGCGCTGCTCCAAGCTGAGGACGGAGAGGAAGGAAGCTATCTTGGAGTTCCTGAACACTGAGTCAAGCTATGGGGAGGACCTGAGGATCATCAAGGAGGAGTTCTACTGCCCCATGCAGAGCGCCGGGCTGCTGAACTCAGAACAGCTGACAGTGGTGTTCAGCAATGTTCAGGAGCTCATAGACGTCAACGAACGCTTCACTGAACACCTGCAGGACAGCATCGACCAGGCCTTCGACCAGGTGAGTCAGATAGAACCAGGTGACCCTTCAGAAAAACAAATCACTCACATGTTATTCTTTATCAGTGGTCATTGAGTAGGTGATAAGCCTACTTCAGAAAGAACGCCAGTCTCTCATGTTATTCTATATCAGTGGTCATTGAGTAGGTGATAAGCCTACTTCAGAAAGAACGCCAGTCACTCATGTCATTCTATATCAGTGGTCATTGAGTAGGTGATAAGCCTACTTTAGAAAGAACACCAGTCACTCATGTTATTCTTTATCAGTGGTCATTGAGTAGGTGATAAGCCTACTTCAGAAAGAACGCCAGTCACTCATGTTATTCTATATCAGTGGCCTGGTGATTAGTCAAAAAGCATAATTGATTTTTACTTAACTCAACATTAGTTTGGTATAAGTCATGTTGAAAAAGTGACACAGTGGCTTGTGGTTGCACTTTGGTTAATCTCTCATGTTAGCTAGCTAGCTAGTGTACACACGTTTTGGTTCTGAGATTACACTGTGGTCATACTATTGGCCTATAGAGATGTTCTAAATCTATGTTTATGCTTGTTCCCTTGCAGGGAGATGAGGACCTGCTAACAGTGTGCATTGGAGAGATGTTCCTGGAGTTTGTCAACATGCTGCCAGCCTTCCAGACGTACTGCCTGCAGCAGTCCACCTCAGTCAACATGCTCAACACCCTGGAGAAGGAGAAAGAACTACTGAGGTAAAGACTGTGTAAAGTAACACTTCAAAGATCAAATCACATTTTATTGGTCCCGTACACATATTTTGCAGATGTTATCGCAGATGCAGCAAAATGCTTGTTTCTAGCTCCAACAGTGCAGTAACACTGAACAATACAAAATGATACACACAAATTCCCAAAAAATAAAATATGTGAACGAGCAATGTCCAGAATATAAATATATACACTATATATACAAAAGTATGTGGACACCCCTTCAATGCCAGGAGAATGCTACCTGTCCGAAAGCATAGTGCCAACTGTAAAGAGATAATGGTCTGGGGCTGTTTTTCATGGTTCGGGCTAGGCCCCTTAGTCCCAGTGAAGTGAAATCTTAATGCTACAGCATACACATGCGCCGAAGACAACAGGTGTAGACCTTACAGTGAAATGCTTACTTACAAGCCCTTAACCAACAATGCAGTTTTAAGAAATTACATTCTAGATGATTCTCTGCTTCCAACTTTGTGGCAACAGTTTGGGGAAGGCCCTTTCCTGTTTCAGCATGACAATGCCCCCATGCACAAAGCGATGTCCATACAGAAAGGATTTGTCAAGATCGGTGTGGAAGAACTTGACTGGCCTGCACAGAGCCCTGACCTCAACACCATCGAACACCTTTGGAATGAATTGGAATGCCGACTGTGACTGACTTGTTGGAAAGGTGGCATCCTATGACGGTGCCACGTTGAAAGTGACTGAGCTCTTCAGTAAGGCCATTCTACTGGCAATGTTTGTCTATGGAGATTGCATGGCTGTGTGCTTGATTTTATACACCTGTCAGCAACAGGTGTGGCTGAAGTAGCCGAAGCCACTAATTTGAAGGGGTGTCCACATACTTTTGTGTATATAGTGTAGAAGCTGTTTTTCAGTCTCTCGGTCTCAGCTTTGATGCGCCTGTATAGATTTGGTAGTTTATACTGTACGGATACTTGCAGGATTTGATCAACTATTGTTTTCTGTATTATAGTTACAAATAAGGGAACTTTGGTTTTTATTTTTCCTTATTCAAGATCGAAATCAAGAGAAAATGAATGTGTTGTTTTGGAAATGTCCACTGACCAGAATTCTCTTCTGTGCTCTAAGAGCAGAAGAACGGTACCTTGGAACCCTAAGTTCCCACCACGCTGTGGTATTCTTAATGGAAGAGACAGAAGGTTATCATTCATTCATAACTGGACCTATTCTGAGAACAGTGCTGAAGTCATTATTATTTTTAGACCCAGGCAACTACATCACATCTCTGCCATAATGACTCAGCCTGTATTGTCTTGTGATTCCCACTGCTCTCAACTTTACAATTAGGTCTGAGACTCTCTTGTCTACGATCACAATTAAACAGTATGTTAATATCACTGTCTCTTTCCTTATCTCTCTTTCACTATCTCTCTCCCTCCCTCCCTCCATCCATCTCTCTCTCTCTCTCTCTCTCTCTCTCATCTCCCTCCTTCTCTCAGGATCTTCCTGGACGTGTCCCAGAATGACAACACAGCCCTGCGGCGTATGAACCTACGCTCCTTCCTCATGGCCCCCCTCCAGAGGGTCACCAAGTACCCCCTCCTGCTGAGCCGCATCAGCAAGGCCACCATGGAGTGCCACCCTGACCATGGCCGTCTCCGAGAGGCCAAGAGCCGCGTGGAGTCTCACCTAGAGCACATCAACATGAAGACCAAGCAGGAAGGAACCCTGACCTGGACTCTGCGTTCCTTCCGCCGCGACAGCCGCAAGAACCGTGAGGTCATCAACATCGAGATGCGGGAGATGTCTATGAAGACTGTGGGCTGGGCCAGGGAGAACACACGCTTCATCATGGAGGGGCCCCTGCAGCTCTCCCAGCCTGCAGACGGACAGTGGGTAAAGAAGGGCAGTAAAGGCCTCAAGTTCCAGAACGTCCAGAGTCTGTTGATGGTGCGTACTCAGCGGCCTGGTGAGGGGCTGTCTCAGACAGACGGCGAGGCCAAGGTGGAGCAGCAGGAGTACGGCGTGTGGGACGGTGTGCTGGTGCTCATCAAAGACAAGAGCAGTGGGAAGTTCACCGTGCTCAGAGAGCCCATCCGCCTGGCCAACTGTGTGGTGTCGGCCGACCCTGAATGCGAGGACACCTTTGAGGTGCTGGACATACGTAAGGAGGCCTTTGTTTTCAGGGCCTCAGACAAACCCCGCACGCAGCAGTGGTTCCGGCAAATCAAGAGGTATACCCGTGACCTGGGGCTGTGGAGGAAGAGGCGTAATGCGCTCCCCAATATTATGATGAACACAAACCAGGGCAGGTCCTGAGACTGAGCCCTGAGGAACACCTTTTCCCTGGCTGGATACCAGTGTAAATAGATGTACGACTACTGCAAAAAGAACTGACCATGGTTCTGGATGGTGAACCGATTTGTTTCTGAAGTTTTAAGGTGGGGTTTGTCTGAGGCTTGTGAGGTTCCATGTTATGATGAGGATAGCACTTTTTTCTAAGAAAAACTGCAAGTGCACCATACTGTAACGAAACGTATGAAGGTATAGTTTTTAGCTTCTGTCTAAAAATGATCAGCCACTTGGATGACCAAAAAGGTGACTTGGTTGGGAACACTGCTGTTTTCTCTTGAAGAAAGATATGTTTTCAGTATACTGACTGACTGGTGTCTGTGTTGAAAAGCATGGTTGAAGTTGATGATTGAAAAAACATGACTGAAAAAGATGACTCTGTAATGTTAATAAAAATGCACAAATGAGTGAAAAACTACTGTTAAATTATACAATGGGGACTTGGCCTACAGCTTAGTAAAAAAAGACTTGAACTTTTTATTTTGTTTTACCTGACCAAGGTAAGTCAAAAGCACTGGCCTCTTCCCACTTTATTTTGCCCTTTGTGTCAGTAGCAATGTCCACTGCCAGGAGAGAAGATCAGAGATATGGCATCCATAGTAGGAACTCCGTTAGTGACTTCCTACTATGGATGCCGTGCAGACAGTGACTGTCAGACAGATTGAACCCAGGGTGGTGGACATACTTGTATCAGAGGAGGCTGGTTGGAGGAGCTATAGGAAGACGGGCTCATTGTAATCGCTTAAATGGAATGAATGGAATGGAGTCAAACGTGGTTTCCATATGTTTGATGTGATTCCAGCCATAACAAGGAGCCTGTCCTCCTATAGCTCCTCCCACCAGCCTCCACTTACTTGTATCAGTGTACTGGGTAGGCTCAAGTCACAAAGCCAGAAAGCAGCAATAATTCGTGCAATTGTAGCTATTTATTTTTGTTTTTCCACATCTGGTCAGACTTTGTAATTGTGGGAAATTGAGAGCTTATTATCCCACCTATGAGTGGCAGTGACGTTATTGACACAAATGAGCTACAGAGGTTAGGCCCAAGAAGAATGTGCACTTGAACTTCAATCCTGGTTTGGCCCCTACCAGTATTGTCAACAGTTTATTCAAACTCTCAAAGCCTTTACCTGTACCTGAATGTGGTAGTAGAGCATGGCCAAAGTGGAGATGGAAAGGCCTCAAACGCTGGTCAACCTGGATCATGAGTTTAGTAGCTAAAGCTAACATAGTAGCGCCACTCAAATGTCTTCACAGTGCGCTGTTCCACAACAATCAGATGGGGAAATTATGAGCTTTTGTTCCTTGGGTTTTTATTTCACTCTAAATTAACAAAAAGCATTTCTTCTGTTGCCAGTCACAGTAATGTTGATAAAACGTTGAGTATCTGGAAATGGTCACTGAGTCAAACTGCCCTCAGCCCCTAGGTGGCAGCAGAAAGGCATTTCAAAAGCCTGCTTACATAGCCTGGTTATACCAGTGAACACTGCATTCACCAATCTGAAACTTAGTGAAGTCTGTTTGGATGCCAGACCTTACAGGCTGTACTAATCACTTCATCTGGCTGCTAGTGTTACTACATTATTATGTCATAGTTTACCTGTGCCCTTATCTCAAGTGTGATTTCCCAACTCCTAACATGTGTTTTTGTGTCTGATGTTTCTGAATCTGAAGGCACTTTATAATTAAGACTACAAACTAGATCCAGATTATGGTGTGACTGTCACTCTCCAACAACGCTATCTGCTGTTCATGATTTCAAAAGCTTTATTCTGTTGGTTGTGTTATTTATTCACAGAACTCTTTATGTTAGGGAAACGTATAAGACCACAGCTGACTACATACAGCAGGTCAACGCAATACTTCTTATCAAACAAATCTAACCTACATATACTGTTCAGTCTGATTATGTTTAGTCCAGGAGTAGCATAGGTCAATGAGGTAGTGAATCACTGTGTTTTTGGACAGAGAATGGTGTACGGAGTAGACTACTGCCTGTCTTTTACTGTTCATCACCTTCCAATGGCATCAACACTGTTACAATCATAGAATTAGAATCTCATTCTATTTCTAGAATTGTATTATTTTTCTATTGTTAGAATTCTTTCAGCTTCCATCTTGTTCCACTAAATTATTACTACCATATATGAGAAGACCGATGCTGTGTAAACCTTTTGAAAATATCATTTTCAATATCCTAGACCTGATGAACTGTCAAATGTTTTTCCTCTGCATTTTAAAGACCTAATGTGATATTTCCTTTATGTAAGATATTGTGAATTATATTAAAAAATGACATGTTCAATACATATTTCTTTGTACTTTACCCTTTCCACTTATTGCTATCCATTGGCTTCCACTGTGCCTTGAGTCGTCAGGTAAGTCATATTCTGAAATAGTGAACGAGGTGTTCTTGTACACTACCAGTCAAACGTTTGGACACACCTACTCATTCAAGGGTTTTTCTTTATTTTTACTATTTTCTACATTGTAGAATAATAGTGAAGACATTAAAACTATGAAATAATACACATGGAATCATGTAGTAACCAGAAAAGTGTTAAACAAATCAAAATATATTTTATATTTGAGATTCTTCAAATAGTCACCCTTTGCCTTGATGACAGCTTTGCACACTCTTGGCATTCTCTCAACCAGCTTCATGAGGTAGTCACCTGGAATGCATTTCAATTAACATTTGTTCATTCTTAAAAGTTAATTTGTGGAATTTCTTTCCTTAATGCGTTTGAGCCAATCAGTTGTGTTGTGATAAGGTAGAGGGAGTATACAGAAGATAGCCCTATTTGGTAAAAGACCAAGTCCATATTATTTCAAAAACAGCTCAAATAAGCAAAGAGAAACGACAGTCCATCATTACTTTAAGACATGAAGGTCAGTCAATCCGTAACATTTCAAGAACTTTGAACGTTTTTTCAAGTGCAGTTGCAGAAACCATCAAGCGCTATGATGAAACTGGCTCTCATGAGGACCGCCACAGCAATGGAAGACCCAGAGTTACCTCTGCTGCAGAGGATAAGTTCATTAGAGTTACCAGCCTCAGAAATTGCAGCCCAAATAAATGCTTCACAGAGTTCAAGTAACAGACACATCTCAACATCAACTGTTCAGAGGAGACTGTGTGAATCAGGCCTTCATGGTCAAATTGCTGCAAAGAAACCACTACTTAAGGACACCAAAAAGAAGAAGAGACCTGCTTGGGCCAAGAAACACGAGCAATGAACGGTGGAAATTTGTCCTTTGGTTCCAACCGCCGTGTCTTTGTGAGACGCGGTGTGGGTGAACGGATGATCTCTGCATGTGTAGTTCCCACCATAAAGCATGGAGGAGGTGTTATGGTGTGGGGGTGCTTTGCTGGTGACACTGTCTGTGATTTATTTAGAATTCAAGGCACACTTAACCAGCATGGCTACCACAGCATTCTGCAGCGATACGCCATCCCATCTGGTTTGGGCTTAGTGGGACTATCATTTGTTTTTCAACAGGACAATGACCCAACACACCTCCAGGCTGTGTAAGGGCTATTTTACCAAGAAGGGGAGTGATGGAGTGCTACATCAGATGACCTGGCCTCCACAATCCCCTGACCTCAACCAAATTGAGATGGTTTGGGATGAGTCGGACGGCAGAGTGAAGGAAACGCAGCCAACAAGTGCTCAGCATATGTGGGAACTCCTTCAAGACTGTTGGAAAAGCATTCCAGGTGAAACTGGTTGAGAGAATGCTGAGTGTGCAAAGCTGTCATCAAGGCAAAGGGTTGCTATTTGAAGAATCTCAAATATAAAATATATTTTTATTTGTTTAATAATAATAATATAATAATATGCCATTTAGCAGACGCTTTTATCCAAAGCGACTTACAGTCGTGCGTGCATCCATTTTTGTGTATGGGTGGTCCCGGGGATCGAACCCACTACCTTGGCGTTACAAGCGCCGTGCTCTACCAGCTGAGCTACAGAGGACCACAACACGTTTAACACGTTTTTGGTTACTACATGATTCCATATGTGTCATCTCATCGTTTTGATGTCTTCACTATTATTCTACAATGTAAAAATTAAGAAAAACCCTTGAATGAGTAGGTGTTCTAAAACATTTGACCGGTAGTGTATGCAAGTAAGGCGTGGTTCATTCATAAAAGGTACAAAGCAATTATTGGACTTACATGTTTGGACAGAACTCTCCCTTTACCAGAGAAATCAGTGAATATTGCTTATTTGACACCAACTAGGACAAATTAAACAAAACAGCATTAGGTAGAAATATTTATTTGGAACATTTTCAAATTAAGAAATAAAATACAGTGTTCCTTTAAATCAGATGGAATTGTTTGTAAGCATTCACAAATACTTTATGAAAACAAAAAAGCACATAGGAAGAAGTGCAACAATACAGTAAATTCTATTTACTACAATTCAACTACAGTACATATGCATTAGATGCATAGAAGTTCGCCATAACAATGTATCAAAATTAATATTTTAAGACTGAAAGCTTTGCCATGAATGAAGTACAGTATTTTCCTGTCTTAGCTGACACTGCCATGTCTGCAGTGTGCATAGCTGAGTGATTAGAAGTCATTAGCCGTTGTCAATACCATTCTGACCTGAACTGGGATGGATATCAATTGTATTTCGTAGATTCCTCACGTCCCCTCTCTTAGCCTTCTCAAAGCACATTGTAGCAGAAGACCCGGGGTTCCTCCACTCAGATACTTCTCCAATGTGTTTTGAGGAGGAGGCAAGGAATCAAGGAAATACAATGTACATTAACCCTGGCTCTTTAGATTCCATATCCTCTCCTCCTAGTCTCCTTGCTTCCCTCTGTTGAGAAAGACAGAGACGACCGAACAGAATACGAGAAATTAAGGGAAGACTTGAGAAAGAGATGCAATGTTTCAGATCAGAGTATGGACCAGGAAATGAGGCTGGAGTCACAACAGTTACTAAATGAGGAGATATGAATTGCAAGGAAGAATGTGCCAAACTGTGGCGGATATGGCAAATAAGAGAGCCAGACACATACAATCAAGTGGCCTTAGATCTGCACTTTCCCCTTGCCTTTCCCCAACATGTATGCTGTTTCTTTGGCTCCTTTTTTTTTTTGAACATTGAGATATCAACCATGAACAGAACATTCACCCTGTCAGCACCCCCTTAAATGAAATTAACATCAATAATTCAATACATAGATGGTGACCTGTACAAAATGTATGAAAAGCAAAAACAACAAACTTAACAGGCATACAGTATGCTGTTGGACATTAAATTAACATTTCCAATCACCAATATGGAACAACTCCTCCCCTTCAAACAACTGTGCCTTTATATAAAAGGCTTTCCAAGCCAACTGACAGACTGTCATTCCTCACATGCACTTCTCCAAACAAACGCACACACACACGTCAGTCTGTACTAGGCTGCAGGGGCCACAGACCTCCTATTCCTGCTCTCCAGCAGGTCAAGTCTCCACTGTCCCAGTCATGGAGGTCAGGTCCCAGCCTAGGGTAGCGCCCCGGCCCCACACCCTCCATCTCCACCGCCCTCAGCTCTACTTGTCTCCCCCAGCCTCCTGCTCCTTGGCCAGGCCGCGGATAGACAGGTCGTACACCACCTCCTCTATCTTCTTCACGTCGTACTTGAGGCCATCGTAGCGCTTACGCAGGGGGTCGTTCTTGAGGTTGAGCAGGCGGAAGCCAGAGTCCAGCTCGTTGATGAAGTTGGAGATGCGGAGGGGCCGGCTGTAGTCCCCTGCTGTGACGCTGTTGACTGCCAGGCGAGACTAGAGAGAACAGGTGAGTTTATACATCTAAATAATCCATCTAAACCATCATATATTATCCAAAAAAAACCAGATGTACATTTTGTATAAACCAATGTACTGATATATTAAAATGGTACAACACCACAATTCATTCTCACCAGTTCACTGGCCATGATCAGCACACCTGCCAGGTAGTCCTCAACATCCAGATGGAATCCCTTCTCTCTCACCACCTCAACTGTAATAAATAGGGAAAATGTATGCCCACCACAGCACTACCTGACTGCCGATTGACAGAGGAACAGTCTGCGAATGCACCCATTGTCTTGAGAAAAGTTCAACTCAAGGTAATGGGTGCATTCGTTTTAGATTGCCTGGTGCACTGGGTGGGCAGAGATTTACCATTGGAATGGTCTAAAATGTTCAAACTCCATCCACCGGGGTACCGGGCGAGCTAAAACAAAGGCACCCAAATGAACTGACACCTACTTCCTAGTATTTGTGCCACTTCATCGCGTGTCACCAGAGACTCACTCTCCAGGTAGACCACGAACGCTGCCAGGAAGGCCAGGCGCTGCAGAACAAACCTCCAGTGCTCATGGAACCTAGAAGCAGAGTGGAGGATGGAAAATGACATGTTAGTTTGTCCTTTCAATAACAAGGAGAGAAGATAGACAATATCACTCCATAACTTAATGTGGTAATAAAGAGACTTGTAATTACTAATTTCCCTTATGAATGTAATTCTGTGGAGAGGGAATTGTGAATAAGTTGTGTGCGAATCAGTAGCCATCTTTAGATTCAGCCATGTGTAAGGCCTACCTGTAGTACTGCTCCACTGGGAATTTGGTTTTGAGTTCTCCAAGGTGCGTCCTGACTGTACAAAACAGTTCCCTGGCCTTTGCGCATTTACTGGGAACTAGTGTGACAGACAGGGGGACAAGAAAGAGATGTTTATGTACTACCTGTAGTACTGTTCCACAGGGAGTCTGGTTTTGAGCTCTCTAAAGTACATCCAGACTGTGCTAAGCAGTTCCCGAGCAATTACACATTTATTGGGAACTAGTGTGACAGGACAAAACAGAAACAGTTATGACAAGGTGACAGAGAACCTGTAAAGCAGTGAGTCAATCAGTAAGATAAGCCATCACAAGTGATAGTCTAGGGTTGTATTCACTAGGAGTAAAACAGAAGAAAACAGACCAAAACAGGGAGGGACTACATGAACTTGCCACTTCTGTCATCATGAAGTGCTTTGAGAGGCTAGTCAAAGACCACAACACCTCCTCCCTCCCCGACACACTCGACCCTCTCCAATTCGTCTACCGCCCTGACAGATCCACGGACAACGCAATCGCACTGCACACTGCACTGCACACTGCCCTCACCCACCTGGACAAAAGGAATGCATATGTGAGGATGCTGTTCATCGACTACAGCTCGGCCTTCAATACCATGGTGCACTCTAAGCTCACCACAAAGCTCACGGCTCTGGGACTGAACTCCTCCCTATGCAACTGGGTCCTGGACTTCCTGATGGGCCGCCCCCAGGTGATGAAAGTAGGCAACATTACCTCCTCCACAATGATCCTCAACATGGGGGCCCCACAAGGGTGCTTCCTCAGTCCCCTCCTGTACTCCCTGTATACCCATGACTGCGTGGCCTCACACAGTTCCAACTCCATCATCAAGTTCGCTGAGACACAACAGTAGTAGGCCTGATTACCAACAATGACGAGACGGCCTACAGGGAGGAGGTAGGCACTCTGACGGCGTGGTGCCAGGTGAACAACCCCTCCCTCAACATCAGCAAAACAAAAGGAGCTGATTGTGGACTTCAGGAGGAACCAGGCCGGGCACGCCTCATCCTCATCAACGGGGCCGCCATAGAGACGGTCAAAAACGTGAAGTTCCTCGGTGTACACATCTCAGAGGAGCTGAAATGGTCAAACCACACGGACACCGTGGTGAAGAAGGCACGACAGTGACTCTTCCAACCTCAGGATGCTGAAGAAATTCAGCCTGTCCCCGAAGGCCCTCACAGTGTTCTACAGGAGCACCATCGAGAGCATACTGTTGGACTGCATCAAAGCCTGGTACAGCAACTCCACCGCCGCAGACCACAAGGCGCTACAGAGGGTGGTACGCTCAGCCGAACACACCATTGGGTGCATACTGCCTTCCCTCCAGGACACCTACAATACCAGGTGTCGCAGGAAGGCCAAGAGATCATCAGGAACCTCAGCCACCCGAGCCACGGCCTGTTCTCCCGGTTTCCATCACTCAGACACGGGCAGTATAGGAGCATCATGGCAAAAACTGTAAGAGCGGCCAATAGCTTCTACCCCCAAACCATCAGGCTGCTGAATAGCCACCACAAGTCAGTTACCTGCTCCTCCAGTCCCCCTCCTGCCCCACCAGACTTCCTGCCCTCCCCTTGCTGCTCCCCCTATGGACATTTTACCCTGCCCCCACCCCAATGAACATTTATCATGCTGAATAGAGCTCCACAGTGGAGGTGTCATAATACCCATAAAACCTAGCGGTGGAAAATGGGAAATGAAAATGGTTCCAATCGTTTTTTTCCCATAGGGGATTTTAGAAACACTTAAAATAAAGGCTGTGTTTTGTGTAGGCTTATGACGTGAAGTTTTGATAACCATGTCAATCTCTCTCGGACAAGAAGACTTATCAATATATTCGGCTCGATTTACTCTCAGATTTGAAAATGCTAATTAGCATCAAAGAAGACATCATGCAAAACTACAAATCCCTGCAAGCTCCTGCATGTCATCTCTAGCGTACACCTTTGCTAACAGATAGTGTCAATTTAAAACTCGCACAAGACAGTTCACAGAATTGTCCATTTAAAGAAATGTAGCCAATCTGTTCATTACTACATTTAGCTAACATTAGCTAGTTACACCAGAGATTCTTACCTTTGCCTCGATTTGGCAGTCTCATCCAGATCATCATGGCATTTGTAGTTGTTTATGATAGCCACATAAGCAGCTAATTTGCATTTCATTTTTTTGGGGGTAAATACAGGCAAATATATTGATAAAAGTCACCTTGTCCTAGAGAGATTTACACGGTTAAAAAAAACGTCACGCCAGGGTAAGCCTACACGAAACACAGCCCTTATTTTAAGTGTTTCTAAAATCCCCTATGGGAAAAATGAATGGTGGAAAAATGATTGGAACCATTTCCCTGTTCGACCGCTAGGTTCTATGGGTATTATGACTCATACTGTGGTACTCTTATAACCACCACTAGTCAGCTACCTGCCCCCCTCCCCCGATATTTATCATTGCCATACACACATATATATACACACATATACACACACACACATATATATATATACACACAAACATACAGTGAGGGAAAAAAGTATTTGATCCCCTGCTGTTTTGTACGTTTGCCCACTGACAAAGAAATGATCAGTCTAATTTTAATGGTAGGTTTATTTGAACAGTGAGAGACAGAATAACAACAAAAAAATACAGAAAAACGCATGTCAAAAATGTTATAAATTGATTTGCATTTTAATGAGGGAAATAAGTATTTGACCCCTCTGCAAAACATGACTTAGTACTTGGTGGCAAAACCCTTGTTGGCAATCACAGAGGCCAGACGTTTCTTGTAGTTGGCCACCAGGTTTGCACACATCTCAGGAGGGATTTTGTCCCACTCCTCTTTGCAGATCTTCTCCAAGTCATTAAGGTTTCGAGGCTGACTTTTGGCAAGTCGAACCTTCAGCTCCCTCCACAGATTTTCGATGGGATTAAGGTCTGGAGACTGGCTAGGCCACTCCAGGACCTAAATGTGCTTCTTCTTGAGCCACTCCTTTGTTGCCTTGGCCGTGTGTTTTGGATCATTGTCATGCTGGAATACCCATCCACGACCCATTTTCAATGCCCTGGCTGAGGAAAGGAGGTTCTCACCCAATATTTGACGGTACACGGCCCCGTCCATCGTCCCTTTGATGCGGTGAAGTTGTCCTGTCCCCTTAGCAGAAAAACACTCCCAAAGCATAATGTTTCCACCTCCATGTTTGACGGTGGGGATGGTGTTCTTGGGGTCATAGGCAGCATTCCTCCTCCTCCAAACACGGCGAGTTGAGTTGATGCCAAAGAGCTCCATTTTGGTCTCATCTGACCACAACACTGTCTTTTATCGATCGCGGTTATAATATCGTTTAGGACCTTGAGCGTGGCTGAGGTGCACCCATGACCAGCTCGGAAACCGGATTGTATAGCGGAGAAGGTACGGTGGGATTCGAAATGGTCGGTCTTCTGTTTGTTAACTTGGCTTTCAAATACTTTCGAAAGGGCAGGGCAGGATGGATATACAGTGGGGAGAACAAGTATTTGATACACTGCCAATTTTGCAGGTTTTCCTACTTACAAAGCATGTAGAGGTCTGTAATTTTTATCATAGATACACTTCAACTGTGAGAGACGAAATCTAAAATCCAGAAAATCACATTGTATGATTTTTAAGTAATTCATTTGCATTTTATTGCATGACATAAGTATTTGATACATCAGAAAAGCAGAACTTAATATTTGGTACAGAAACCTTTGTTTGCAATTACAGAGATCATACGTTTCCTGTAGGTCTTGACCAGGTTTGCACACACTGCAGCAGGGATTTTGGCCCATTCCTCCATACAGACCTTCTCCAGATCCTTCAGGTTTCGGGGCTGTCGCTGGGCAATACGGACTTTCAGTTCCCTCCAAAATGTTCTATTGGGTTCAGGTCTGGAGACTGGCTACGCCACTCCAGGACCTTGAGATGCTTCTTACGGAGCCACTCCTTAGTTGCCCTGGCTGTGTGTTTCGGGTCGTTGTCATGCTGGAAGATCCAGCCATGACCCATCTTCAATGCTCTTACTGAGGGAAGGAGGTTGTTGGCCAAGATCTCGCGATACATGGCCCCATCCATCCTCCCCTCAATACGGTGCAGTCGTCCTGTCCCCTTTGCAAAAAAGCATCCCCAAAGAATGATGTTTCCACCTCCATACTTCACGGTTGGGATGGTGTTCTTGGGGTTGTACTCATCCTTCTTCTTCCTCCAAACACGGCGAGTGGAGTTTAGACCAAAAAGCTATATTTTTGTCTCATCAGACCACATGACCTTCTCTCATTCCTCCTCTGGATCATCCAGATGGTCATTGGCAAACTTCAGACGGGCCTGGACATGCGTTGGCTTGAGCAGGGGGACCTTGCGTGCGTTGCAGGATTTTAATCCATGACGGCGTAGTGTGTTACTAATGGTTTTCTTTGAGACTGTGGTCCCAGCTCTCTTCAGGTCATTGACCAGGTCCTGCCGTGTAGTTCTGGGCTGATCCCTCACCTTCCTCATGATCATTGATGCCCCACGAGGTGAGATCTTGCATGGAGCCCCAGACCGAGGGTGATTGACCGTCATCTTGAACTTCTTCCATTTTCTAATAATTGCGCCAACAGTTGTTGCCTTCTCACCAAGCTGCTTGCCTATTGTCCTGTAGCCCATCCCAGCCTTGTGCAGGTCTACAATTTTATCCCTGATGTCCTTACACAGCTCTCTGGTCTTGGCCATTGTGGAGAGGTTGGAGTCTGTTTGATTGAGTGTGTGGACAGGTGTCTTTTATACAGGTAACGAGTTCAAACAGGTGCAGTTAATACAGGTAATGAGTGGAGAACAGGAGGGCTTCTTAAAGAAAAACTAACAGGTCTGTGAGAGCCGGAATTCTTACTGGTTGGTAGGTGATCAAATACTTATGTCATGCAATAAAATGCTTAAAATTAATTACTTAAAAATCATACAATGTGATTTTCTGGATTTTTGTTTTAGATTCCGTCTCTCACAGTTGAAGTGTACCTATGATAAAAATTACAGACCTGTACATGCTTTGTAAGTAGGAAAATCTGCTAAATCGGCAGTGTATCAAATACTTGTTCTCCCCACTGTAGGTCTGTAACAGTTTGGATCTAGAGTGTCACACCCTTTGAAGAGGGGGATGACCGCGGCAGCTTTCCAATCTCTGGGGATCTCAGACGTTACGATAGAGAGGTTGAACAGGCTCGTAATAGGGGTTGCGACAATTTCGGCGGCTAATTTTAGAAAGAAAGGGTCCAGATTGTCTAGCCCAGCTGATTTGTAGGGGTCCAGATTTTTCAGCTCTTTCAGAACATCAGCTGTCTGAATTTGTGTGAAGGAGAAGCGGGGGGGGGGGGGCATGGGCAAGTTGCAGCGGAGGGTGCAGAGCTGGTGGCCGGGGTAGTGGTAGCCAGGTGGAAAGCATGGCCAGCCGTAGCAAAATGCTTCTTGAAATTCTCGATTATTGTAGATTTATCGGTGGTGACAGTGTTTCCTAGCCTCAGTGTAGTGGGCAGTTGGGAGGAGGTGCTCTTATTTTCCATAGACTTTACAGTGTCCCAAAACTTTTTGGAGTTAGTGCTACAGGATGCACATTTCTGTTTGAAAAAGCTAGCTTTTGCTTTCCTAACTGATTGTGTATATTGGTTCCTGACTTCCCTGAAAAGTTGCATATCGCGGGGGCTGTTCGATGCTAATGTAGTACGCCACAGGATGTTTTTGTGCTGGTCAAGGGCAGTCAAGTCTGAGGAGAACCAGGGGCTATATCTGTTCTTAGTTATGAATTTTTTGAATGGGGCATGCTTATTTAAGATGGAGAGGAAAGCACTTTTAAAGAACAACCAGGCATCCTCTACTGACGGAATGAGGTCAATATCCATCCAGGATACCCGGGCCAGGTCAATTAGAAAGGCCTGCTCGCTGAAGTGTTTTAGGGAGCGTTTGACAGTGATGAGGGGTGGTCGTTTGACCGCGGACCCATTACGGACGCAGGCAATAAGGCAGTGATCGCTGAGATCCTGGTTGAAGACAGCGGAGGTGTATTTAGAGGGTAAATTTGTCAGGATGATATCTATGAGGGTGCCCATGTTAACAGATTTAGGGTTGTACCTGGTAGGTTCGTTGATAATTTGTGTGAGATTGAGGGCATCTAGTTTAGATTGTAGGTTGGCCGGGGTGTTAAGCATATCCCAGTTTAGGTCACCAAGCAGTACGAACTCTGAGGATAGATGGGGGGCAATCAGTTCACATATGGTGTCCAGGGCACAGCTCGGGGCTGAGGAGGGGCTGTAGCAAGCGGCAACAGTGAGAGACTTATTTCTGGAAAGGTGGATTTTTAGAAGTAAAAGCTCAAACTGTTTGGGTACAGACCTGGATAGTACGATAGAGCTCTGCAGGCTCTCTCTACAGTAGATTGCAACCCCACCCCCTTTGGGAGTCCTATAGAGATGGAAAATGTTGTAGTTGGGGATGGAAATTGGTCTGCATTTTGGGTGGCCTTCCTAAGCCAGGATTCAGACACTGCTAGAACATCAGGGTTGGCGGAGTGTGCTAACGCAGTGAATAACTCAAACTTAGGGAGGAGGCTTCGGATGTTAACGTGCAAGAAACCATGGCTTTTACAGTTACAGAAGTCAACAAATGATAATGCCTGGGGAGTAGGAGTGATACTGGGGGCTACAGGGCCTGGGTTAACCTCTACATCACCAGAGGAACAGCGGAGGAGTAGAATAAGAATACGGCTAAAGGCTTTAAGTACTGGTCTTCTAGTGCGTTGGGTACAGAGAAAAAAGGGGGCAGATTTCCGGGCGTTGTAGAATAGATTCAGGGCATTATGTACAGACAAGGATATGGAAGGATATGAGTACAGTGGAGGTAAACCTAAGCGTTGGGTAACGATGAAAGAAACAGCATCACTGGAGGCACCGATTGAGTCAGTCTCCGCGTGTATGGTGGATGGGACAAAGGAGCTATCTAAGGCAGGTTGAGCTGGGCTGGGGGATCTACAGTGAAATAGTACAATAACAAATAACCGAAACAGCAATAAGCAAGGCATATTGACATGGGAGAGAGGCATAAAGCAAATCACAGGTGTTATTCGAGAGAGCTAAGACAACAGCTGGTAATGGCGACAAGGTTTGGGCTGAGGCTAAACATAAACAGGATGCGGTACCGTATAAAGGAACAGTCTAGCAGGCATCAGCTGTATAGCTGAGTTATAAGGTCCAGTGAACAGCAATAGGAGAGTTCGGAGGTAGTTCGGGGGCTGCTACAGCACTGGCGAGCAAGAGGCCACGGCTTGCGTGTGCTAGCGGGCCTTAGGCTACATACATACATACATATATATTATTATTTATATTATTATCTATTTTTATTGTACTTTGTCCTACATTGTTGGAGCTGTAACCTGTAATTACATCTGCAACCCTGTACATGTGACTATTAGCATAAACTCTCTAATCTCTAATAAGAGAAACGTTTTGGTTGAAAAACGTTTCGCTACGGTGCAATAATGAATGCACCCCATGTGATTGGGCACTCACTCTCTTTGAATCCAGATGGCTGATGGACACTTTGGAGCAGAGTCAGGATCTCCCTCGCTGTCTGTTCCAGAACCTGGACCACTTTTCGAATGTCCTGGAAGATAACATGAGCCGTTAGTTAGCTAGACAACGGTATGAATTTGCAAAAACAAAATGCATGTATACGTGTCCTCCTCCCAATTGCAATGACGGTAGGTTAGCTGCTAACTAGCTATATTGCAAATGTCTGCAAAACATTTATCTTGCACGTAGTGTTTACCATACAGCGCATTTGTAAGTGGACATGTTATTCAATTCATCACATGCTCAATGAAAACCTCACTGACTGTACAACTGACTGTGAGTCAAATGCTAGTTTTGCAGTTGGGTAGAGGTTGTGAGCTAACTCGGTTGACAAAAACATTAACAATCAGCCTATTGATTGATTACCTCTCTTATTTCTTGATCCGCACTCAGAAAACCCTGAATGTAACTGAACATTTCCGGGACAGACATCTTCTACAAATTATTGTATTGTGCAAAGGATATGCTAACTAGTTTGCTTCTGCACAATGAATCAAAACAGTTGGTAGCTAAACCAAAAAATACCAACGCGTGCGCATGGGTCCTTCGTAAATGTGTCGCATTGAGGTGATGTCATCATTCTCCCATATCGATTTTTTTGTTGCATCTCCAAATTATGATCAAGATAATGAAAATATATATTGTGAAATAACATAAAGAGGAAAACGTTTGTTGTGTTCATTTGTCTCTTTGAGAATAAGTAAAACACCTCAATCTAAAAGTAAAATACAACAAACATGTTTTATATAGATCATATTCATATATCTACGTTATTTCTGAACCCCCCTTTATCATCAATATGGAAAAACATTCACGTCCACATTTAGTGAAGACAAATCCACGTACCTTTATCCCGATTTTTCAAAGACAACAGCACCTATGGTGCTTTGTTTAAGCATAGCACTAAATTCACAGAGAGGAAAAGGTTCACTGGAGAGGTTTACACAAATATAGCTGCTTGAGTTGGGCCAGTGCCAACCGGTGCAGAGTACCGTCATGGCTGCACCTTGCATTTTTATCCTGCTTGAGTACCGGCACCTTTTTCACTATAAAATATTCACTCTAAAATATTAATGAGGACCGGTAGCTTTTTCATTCCACAGCTAGTGGATGCAGTTGAAATACAGTGAAGCTATATTGGAGTAGTGTTTGTAGACAGGGAGCTCTTACCTCCAGGCAGGGGAAGAGGATGGCCAGCTCCATGAAGAGGGGTAAGAGGACGAAGCCAATGAAGCCTGTCTGAGAGGACGGCTTGGTCACCTTGTCCCTGTCCATGAATGGAGTCACAGGAAGACCCTCCAGCTTCTCCATGTCACTCTGAGGGAGAGCAGTAGAGAACAGGACGTGGTGAGATACTGGATACTGGGAATGCCGCTGGTTTTGGACAATGGCTTTGATCCAATATCTACACCACAGACTTAATTAGTATGATCCAGTCTATCATACCATTCAGAATGAAGCTGTGTTTTAGCCATGCAATCTATGCATAGTAGTGTGTATATTGGAACATAACCAATATCTGTGTTGTAGTGGTTAGTTACCTGGTTGTAGAACTCCTGCAGGAGGCAGTCCAACCAGGGCTCAGCAACGTCCATGGGCCGTGCCTCGTTGGAGATGTAAATCACTTTGATCATGATCATCATTTGCTAGCACAGACTGGAACATGTTCCGGGATTCTTCAGATAGCATTGAGGAATACACCACATCAGTCACTGGCTTCATCAATAAGTGCATCGATGATGTCGTCCCCACAGTGACCGTACGTACATACCCCAACCAGAAGCCATGGATTGCAGGCAACATCCGCACTGAGCTAAAGGGTAGAGCTGCCGCTTTCAAGGAGCGGGACTCTAACCCGGACGCTTATAAGAAATCCCGCTATGCCCTCCGACGAACCATCAAACAGGCAAAGAGTCAATACAGGACTAAGATTGAATCGTACTACACCGGCTTTGATGCTCGTCGGATGTGGCAGGGCTTGCAAACTGTTACGGACTACAAAGGGAAGCACAGCCGTGAGCTGCCCAGTGACACAGGCCTACCAGACGAGCTAAATCACTTCTATGCTCACTTCGAGGCAAGCAACACTGAAGCTTGCATGAGAGCATCAGCTATTCCGGATGACTATGTGATCACGCTCTCCGTAGCCGATGTGAGTAAGACTAAGCAGGTCAACAGACAGATTACCAGGACGCGTACTCCAAGCCTGCGCTGACCAACTGGCAAGTGTCTTCACTGACATTTTCAACATGTCCCTGACTGAGTCTGTAATACCAACATATTTCAAGCAGACCACCATAGTCCCTGTGCCCAAGAAACACTAAGATAACCTGCCTAAATGACTACCGACCTGTTGCACTCACGTCTGTAGCCATGAAGTGCTTTGAAAGGCTGGTCATGGCTCACATCAACACCATTATCCCAGAAACCCTAGACCCACTCCAATTTGCATACCATCCCAACAGATCCACAGATGATGCAATCTCTATTGCACTCCACACTGCCCTTTCCCACCTGGACAAGAGGAACACCTACGTGAGAATGCTATTCATTGACTACAGCTCAGCGTTCAACACCATAGTGCCCTTAAAGCTCATCACTAAGCTTAGGACCCTGGGACTAAACAACTCCATCTGGATCCTGGACATCCTGACGGGCCGTCCTCAGCTGGTAAGGGTAGGTAACAACACATCTGCCACGCTGATTCTCAACACGGGGGCCCTTCAGGGGTGTTTGCTCAGTCCCCTCCTGTACTCCCTGTTCACCCATGACTGCATGGCCAGGCACGACTCCAACACCATCATTACGTTTTCCGACGACACAACAGTGGTAGGCCTGATCACCGACAACGATGAGACAGCCTATAGGGAGGAGGTCAGAGACCTGGCCGTGTGGTGCCAGGATAACAACCTCTCCCTCAACGTGACCAAGACAAAGGAGATGATTGTGGACTACAGGGGAAAAAAAGAGGACTGAGCACGCCCCCATTCTCATCGACAGGGCTGTAGTGGAACAGGTTGAGAGCTTCAAGTTCCTTGGTGTCCACATCACCAACGAACTATCATGGTCAAAACACACCAAGACAGTCGTGAAGAGGGCACGACAAAGCCTATTCCCCCTCAGGAGACTGAAAAGATTTGGCATGGGTCCTCAGATCCTCAAAAAAATTCTACAGCTGCACCATCGAGAGCATCCTGACTGGTTGCATCACCGCCTGGTATGGCAACTGCTTGGCCTCCGACCGCAAGGCACTACAGAGGGTAGTGCGTACGGCCCAGTACATCACTGGGGCCAAGCTTCCTGCCATCCAGGACCTCTATACCAGGCGGTGTCAGAGGAAGGCCCTCAAAATTGTCAAAGACTCCAGCCACCCTAGTCATAGACTGTTCTCTCTGCTACCGCACGGCAAGTGGTACCGGAGTGCCAAGTCTAGGTCCAAAAGAGTTCTCAACAGCTTCTACACCCAAGCCATAAGACTCCTGAACAGCTAATCATGGCTACCCAGACTATTTGCACTGCCCCCCCACCCCACCCCATCTTTTTACGCTGCTGCTACTCTGTTAATTATTTATGCAAAGTCACTTTAACTCTACCCACATGTACATATTACTTCAACTACCTCAACTAGCCGGTGCCCCCGCACATTGACTCTGCACCGGTACCCCCCTGTATACTGTATATAGCCTCCCTACTGTTATTTTATTTTACTTCTGCTCTTTTTTTCTCAACACTTTTTTGTTGTTGTTTTATTTTACTTTTTTATTAAAAATAAATGCACTGTTGGTTAAGGGATGTAAGTAAGCATTTCACTGTAATGTCTGCACCTGTTGTATTCGGCGCATGTGGCCAATAAAATTTGATTCGATTTCATTATCAGCTGGAAGGAGACGGGGGGACATAAGCATCACTTTAATCCAGTTGGGTAGATCCCCAAGCTTTCAGCTGGGTCCCTATCAGCACTAATAGATAGTAAGATCCACCCATCTGATGTTTCTCTGAGACACAGCTGTCGAATCCTAATGTACCAGCTGTGTCTCAGGGCAACATCTGGCTAGAAAGGAACAGGGAGTACCCGCTGACTGCTCCATGGACTAGGTCAGGATTACATTTACCTGACACCTCAGAAACACAGGGCTAAACATAGGAATATGTCTGAAACATATTAATTCTTACCACATCCCTGTGGTCCTTGTGACAACATTCGAGCACATGTGAAAACCCAGGTGTCAAATGTCATTTAGAATATTTTACTTTGGAAGGCATAACTGACATGAATTCAATTTAAACAGTCATGATCCCCTGGAGGTTTTTGTCTAGGACAAATATGGTAAATCTACAACTAGTTACTGTATTTTTACAGTTAAATTCAGGTCTTAATGTTAAAAGACAGTATGCTGCTGTATGCTGATTACTTGGGACTCAACCTCAAATGGGGCTCAACCTCACTTGGGATTTTAACACACAACCTCTTGGTTGGTTGCTAGCTACCTGAAGTTCCTGCTGCGCCACCAGGTCTGTGGACATAATGGAGATTGGCAAGAATACATTTCTACACTTTGCCTGAAGTTGCAGTAAAAAGAAAGTAAATATATACAACAACTTGTTATTTCTATAAAATGATAGTATGCTGCTGTATTATAATTACTGTAAGATCTTGTACCATGACCACAATTGAGACTCAGCCTTAAATCTTGTACCAGGCCCCGTGTAGCTCAGTTGGTAGAGCATGGCGTTTGCAACGCCAGGGTTGTGGGTTTGATTCCCACGGGGGGCCAGTATGAAAAAAAAATTATGCACTCACTAACTGTAAGTCGCTCTGAATAAGAGCGTCTGCTAAATGACTAAAATGTAAATGGGATTTGAACTCATAAGCTCTTGGTCGCTATCAACCTGAAATGTCCTGCAACACTGCAGCTACACAACCAGATCTGTGAGCTTGAAAGAGATATGGCCACAGACTTATTGGGAAGAATGCATTTCTGCACTTTGCTAAAAGCTGCCCAGAATCAAGTAAATAATTGTCCAATTATCACCACCAAAGTAAAACTACTAGCACTCAAGGACACTTGATGTAAAGTATACATTAATTATTTGGGGATTTGAACTTTCTACCTCTTGGTTGCAAGTGCATCAATGTTTCTGCAGTGCCACCAGGTTCATACTAATTCCTTGGAACATATATTAACACAATAATAGGGGTATGGTTAGGGTACGCTACAGTGTTGTTACTTGGGGTACAAAAAGATTAAAAGGTACACTTCACAGGTACACATATGAACTCACATGGTACAGTTTGGTACCTTTTATGGGACATTTTCCTACCCAATATTTTGAATATCAGGTACGATCATCACTGCATTTTGATAGGTGGGGGCAATGTATTGGTGGGACTCATTAGCATATGTGGGGGCGTGGTCAAATATGTGTATTTGTGCCAACCGTCAGTGGAAGTGTTTAAGTGCTTGATGGTTATGCCGATGCAAGGAGAGCAGTTCTTTTGACATGGTCTGTTTGGCAAATAGTGTAAGAGAATGTGTCAGTCA